ATATGGTTGAATGTATTCCTGCTTCCTTTTCCACAAATAAATACCAAATAAACCCCATTTTTCACTACACAGCTTATTAAGTTGCCTCGTTCTCAATATATCAGCGAACTTGACCATGCATGCCAACTTCCCGGCCCTTAAAATGAAATCCTCTGAGGTACAGAGGCTCATTTCCACACACCCCTTGAGTTGTAGTCAATTTATATATTGGCTGTTCCCCCCCCCCCCGCTCTGTCCACTTCATTATTTATTTATTTGTTTGATTTCATCTTACTATGAAGACCTATAAGAATCCACCCTTCACTATACAGTCCCAGGGTAGGGTTCATACCAAATAATAATAATAATCAGTATAATAAATTTAAGCAGCATATAGCATTAGCACTTTAATTAACTGTAAAATGGTAATGTAATATCTCAACGTATTTGAAGCTCACTGGGTGACCTTGGGCCTCTCAGCATAGCCTACCTCACAGGGCCGTTGTGGGAATTAGAGGAGGGTGGGGAGAACCACATACACAACCTTGAAATCCTTGGAGGTAAATGCAGTAAATGAATAAGTAAATAAATAAAATAAGAAATTTTCAGGCTCACTTTATGAAATAAATGGATTTTGTTGTGTTGCATCTTGGAACAACATACCGTACTTTCAAGATGCAACACTGCCATTTGCGCGTTATTTTCTTTATCGTGAAATATTGTGTGAGTTTCTTTGTTGGTTTGTTTGTTTTTAATCTAATTTGGAGAAATTGTTTTTTCATATTTGGGCGGGGTGGGTGCCTTGTTACTGCTGGATCGTTTAGCACTCTCAGTGTTTTGTAAAAATCATCTTGTTTTTTACATTTTCTAATTGCTGTTGTGTGTTGTTGTTTTTTACCCTCAGAAAGGCAGCCTATATTTAAAATTAAAATTAATTAAGTTAAATTTAACTTTAAAAAAGAAATCAGCACTACATTAGGGGAGGGGAGACAATAATTTAATCTTTAACTTTCCACCCCCATAGTTTACATTTAAAATATTATAGGGGTGCAGCTAAACATGTAATGGGAGAAGAAGTTCTGTGACCCTTAAATTGCCTGACCTGTGAGAAACCCTTCTAAATCTGATTATTCTTTGTACCTAAGATGATTCTTCTCACTGACTGCTAGCACACAGTCCTCAATGTGTGTCTGTGTGTGTGTGTGCATGCGTATGCAACTCTCTGTCTCTGGGGACTGAGTGCTGAATGCGCCGCAGGGAGTGTTTGTTGTGCTGCTAATACCCTTATTGTCTCCTGAATCCCCAGGGAAGAGATCACCAAGCGACTTAATGCGTCTTCGCTCTCTCTTTCAATCAACCGCTGCCTGAGCAATTTGCAGCCTGTTCTCCAGGAGTCTGGAACGCCATTTGCCTCTGTGTGGTCTGATTAAAGGTATTTCGCTTCTGGTGCATGGAGAATATCACCCATGTGAGGCATGATGTATATGCAGAGAGGATTAATTCCTGTCAAAACATTGGAATACATCCTAACATGGTAGTTCCCAGCACAGAATCTCCATCTCCTTTCTCCTCTAAGGCCTTGGCAAGAGAACACAGCTAGCCTATCCTGCCAGGAAGATTCCACTCAATGCAGACAGGATACCATTTTAGGGTCAAACTAGAAAAGGCACCAGGGATGCTAATGTTTTTATTATTATTCATTAGATATATAGACCGCCCTTCATCAGAAGATCTCAGGGTGGTTCACAAGATAAAAATACAAAGGAAAAACACAAATAAGTACAGTGGTACCTCGGGTTACATACGCTTCAGGTTACATACACTTCAGGTTACACTCTCCGCTAACCCAGAAATAGTGCTTGAGGTTAAGAACTTTGCTTCAGGATAAGAACAGAAATCGTGCTCCGGCGGCGCAGCAGCAGGAGGAGGCCCCATTAGCTAAAGTGGTGCTTCAGGTTAAGAACAGTTTCAGGTTAAGAACGGACCTCCAGAACGAATTAAGTACTTAACCCGAGGTACCACTGTAGTTAAAACAAAAACAACAAAACAATAGCCCCCACACCAATCTATATCATATACAGTGGTACCTCAGGTTACATACGCTTCAGGTTACAGACGCTTCAGGTTACAGACTCCGCTAACCCAGAAATAGTTCTTCAGGTTAAGAACTTTGCTTCAGGATGAGAACAGAAATTGTGTTCCGGCGGTGCGGGCGGCAGCAGGAGTCCCCATTAGCTAAAGTGGTCTTCAGGTTAAGAACAGTTTCAGGTTAAGAACGGACCTCCAGAATGAATTAAGTACTTAACTCGAGGTACCACTGTAGTTAAAACAAAAACAACAAAACAATAGCCCCCACACCAATCTATATCATATACAGTGGTACCTCAGGTTACATACGCTTCAGGTTACAGACACTTCAGGTTACAGACTCCGCTAACCCAGAAATAGTGCTTCAGGTTAAGAACTTTGCTTCAGGACGAGAACAGAAATTGTGTTCCGGCGGTGCGGCGGCAGCAGGAGTCCCCATTAGCTAAAGTGGTGCTTCAGGTTAAGAACAGTTTCAGGTTAAGAACGGACCTCCGGAACAATTAAGTACTTAATCCGAGGTACCACTGTATATCTATAGCTATAGCTATAGCTATCTATCTTGGTTCCCCACTTTTTCCTCTGCCAAAGGCAGCTGTATTTAGGAACAGGGGTGGATCAGGACCTCAACACAGCGGAGTGAGACTTAACTCTTTCCCCCACGCTGCTTCTCTGATACAAATCCCACCAAGCTACTGTTACAGCAGAAGGGAAAACAGACAATCACCCATAATGTCACTGTATGTTTCCGCCTTTACAGCTGATAGCAGCCTGAGGGGGGGAAATGATTGGGGTCACAGCATGACAGAATGGTTGCACCACCCCTTCTGGAATTGTGGCCCTAATTGAAGTTGCCTCTGCCAACCGCCATTAGTATACGTATAAAAAAGTCAAGAGACCAAGTCCTTTAAAGAAAGGTTGAAGGAGCTGAGTAGGCTGGAGAAGAGAGGATTAAGCCTCAATAGGAGAATGTCTTTAAATATCTGAAGGGCTGTCACACAGATAACGGAGCATATTTGGGTCCTGTTGCTGCAGAGAGAAGGACCCAGACCTGTGTGCTGAAATGAGAAGGGATTTTAGACTAAACTCTAGTGTCAGGGGTTCAGGGAGAGAGGCACAGATGAGGGAGGAGACTGAGAGCGAGGGGGAAGAATCCAGGAACGAGGAGGAGGAGGATGACAATGACTTGAGGGCTTCCATGAGTCTCTCAAGTGAATCGGAGGATTCCCAAAAGGGGGCGCCTCTGGTCAGGCCAAGGGGAGCCACAGGGGGGACTCGTCAGGAGCAGGGGAGCAGCAGGGAAACCCCGAGTGGGAGTGGGAGATCGGGGCCGGCTTCCCCGCCGGAACGGAGTGAAGAGGGTGGAGTTCCCAGTGTGACACACGGAGCAGAGCAGGAAGCAGAGAGGGGAAGGAGATCGGGGCAAGACGTCCTGCCGGAAGGGGCGGAGAGTAGTACAGAGAGAAATGCGGAGAGCCCGGAGGAGGAGCCTGGTCCCAAAGCACGGAGGAGGGGGGAGCAGGCGTCTGGGGATTCAGCGTCAGGGGAAAGCAGGAGGGAAGGAACCCAGGGGGGCAGAAAGACCCTGCGGAAAAGGAGGGACAGGAAGAGGTGGACTAGCACAAGCCTCTTAAACTGGTGTAGAGGCGGGACTGATTCAGAGGGGACTTCAGCGGTCTAAGCGTAACAGACGTGGGGCTGCGCGCCTCGGCTGTGGAACAAACAATGTACTTCAATAAAGACTTTTGTAAATAAAGTGGATTTGGCGTTGGTCTCTTGTGAGCTGGGACCTGAGGCGGCCCTGACATCTAGTTTTGTTTTTAACGGAACAACTTCCTGTTGGTGCAACCTGTCTAGCAAAGCTGTATGACGCGTCTGAAATATGCGTTGGCTAAGTCTGGCTGGAGAATATGCACTATACACAGGGGTTTTTCTCAGGCGGAACTCACCGGAACTCAGTTCCGCCACCTCTCAGGTAGGCGCCATCGCCATTATAAGAGAACAAGGGAGTGAGTTCCAGCACCTCTTTTTCTAGAAAAACAGTGCTGCTCTAAAGCATTAATCAATTAGCATTTTGAAACTTAAGTAATACAACTATGAGGTAAGAGAACCAAGTTTTATCATCAACACTGGGGGCGAATATCCAAAAAGGCGGCTGTTACTCTTGCAAAGACATGCCCAGGGATTGCAAGAAGAGCAGCAGTGATCTCTGGGGTATGAGGATTGCAGGTGCAAAAGCATATTACAGTGGTACCTCGGGTTAAGTACTTAATTCGTTCTGGAGGTCCGTTCTTAACCTGAAACTGTTCTTAACCTGAAGCACCGCTTTAGCTAATGGGGCTTCCTGCTGCTGCATCGCCGGAGCCCAATTTCTGTTCTTATCCTGAAGCAAAGTTCTTAACCTGAAGCACTATTTCTGGGTTAGCGGAGTGTGTAACCTGAAGTGTAGGTAACCTGAAGCGTATGTAACCTGAGGTACCACTGTACATATTACACCCCGAGCTAGGCAAATGCAATCTCCTACAACTGAGGCACAATCCTGAGGGAAAACATCTATGGCAGAACACAACAAACAGGTTGCAACTGAGGGGTTGTGGCGCAGAGAAACAAATAGTCTAGAAAGGCCCTAACTTTAAGCAGGAGGTCATTTTTTCCCCTCCGCTCCCCAATTCTTTCTAAATATACCCCACCCTCCTTTTGGCTCATCCCTTGGCTATTTTTGGAAGAGGAAGCAGCAGTGAGGTCAGTAAGACATGCATTCCTGCAAATACGCTTGTCCTCTGAGAAGCCAATCAGGTTTCAGCAACAACACAGCCATCGATTTCCATTTTCAGCTCTTATCGAGATTTATTTATCATTCCCACAGGTAAAAATAGTGACCTTGGGCTGGCTTCATTTGATATTCACAGTGCGGGTCAGTGCATCTTCATACAGACCTCGGTGTTTGTCGATAACCAGCTTATTGTTGATCTCTCAAAGTCAATACGAGATCCTTCTGTGGTGGGGGAGGGGCCGGGGATGGAGAGAGATTGGAGGACGGAGGCCTATTTAGCTACACTAGATCTCCTTCTGCTGTGGAAAGAAAAGGCAATTCTTAACTCAAACAAAGCTTTAGCCTGAAAAATCACAGTTTAAAACCAACTAAGCTCCTAGCAAACAGAGAAAGATAACTGTATAACACAGCAAATTACACATAAAATGTAGCAGTTGGTTATTAAAGGGGGGGATTGTAATGGGAGTTGTTCACACACATTCATATGCTGAGCCAGTCTTTTAGAATATGTACTCTACAGCAGGTTGGCTTAGGTGCCTTTTTCAGAACTCGCCTAGTAGGACAGACATTTTGACATTTTTGTTATATACTGTGAGAGCTGGGTGTGTCTACTCCACCGCAGGCCCATACCCTCCAACACTTTTCTGATGAAAATAAGGACATCCTCTTCCATACCTTCCAACATTTCTCCAATAAAAATAGGAATGTCCTAAGGAGAAGCAGGAGCAAATCAGAAACCAGGACAGCTTCTGTAAATTCGGGACTGTCCCTGGAAGATAGGGACACTTGGAGAGTCTGTGGGCTTTGCCTGTGCCACTCTAAGTGGGATTGGGTGCCTAGTTAGTCAGGGTCCTAAAAAGTGTTGCTGGTCCTAAAAAGTGTTGCAGGGTCCTAAAAAGTGTTATGGGGAAAGGCAGAGAAAATTGGGGTTATCAACAGAGGCTAGCAGAGAGAAAATTACACCAGGAAAGGCACTACGGTATGATGTAGGAGCCCACAACCATGAAAGACTCTGGACCTGCCTGTTACCCCAACCTGAAACATGGGGGCCAGTAATATTAATTCTTAATGCAAATGTCTGCCTGTTCCTCCTCTGTTTGTCTCAGCTCAATTTGTATAGAACTAGGATTAAGTTGTAGCATAGATGGACCCCCATACTCTTCCCTTGCCCTTCTCCCACCATCTTTCTTACTCTATTTTTACTCTATGCAGTGCTACCGGGGGGTTGACATCAACTTGGATGGCTGCAGAATAGGATTCGACCCATTCATGGAGGGAAGGGCTTGCAATGTCTACCAGCCACAGTGGCTATGTGTTATCTTGAGTGCCGGAGACAGTATGCATGTCTGAATGCCAATTGCTGGGACCCACCAGTGGGTAGAGTGCCGTTTCACTTGCATCCTGCTTTTGGGCTTTCCATGGGCATCTGGTTGGCAACTGTGAAAGCAGCATTCTGGATGAGATGGACCATTGGCGTGATCCACCAGGGCTCAGCGCTCTTATGTCCGTATCTTAAAACCATAGGCGAATGCTTTCAGATAGGAATGTTTGCACCAAACCTATGGGATACAGTGGTGCCCCGCAAGACGAACGCCTCGCAAGACAGAAAACCCGCTAGACGAAAGGGTTTTCCGTTTTGGAGGCGCTTCGCAAAACGAATTTCCCTATGGGCTTCCTTCGCAAGACGAAGGCCTATAGGGAAATCTCCGGGACAGCGGGGAAGCGCAGCGCGTCTTCCCCACTGTCCTCGGACCTCCTCCGAAGCCGGGCGGCGGGGCAGGAACACCTCCTCCCGCCGCCCGGCTTCGGAAGGATGCTCCGAAGCCGGGCGGCGGGGCAGGAACACCTCCCGCCGCCGCCCGGCTTCGGAAGGATGCTCTGAAGCCGGGCGGCGGGGCAGGAACACCTCCCGCCGCCGCCCGGCTTCGGAAGGCTCCTCCGAAGCCGGGCGGTGGGGCGGGAACACCTCCCGCCGCCGCCCGGCTTCGGAAGGATGCTCCGAAGCCGGGCGGCGGGGCGGGAACACCTTCTGAAGGCCGGCGGGGGGCAAAAGTCTTTGTTCCCCCCTGCCTGCCTTCCCGGGAGAGCGGAGAAACGCAGCGCGTTTCTCCGCTGTCCCGGAAGGCTTTTGAAGGCAGGCGGGGGGGAGCAAAGACTTTTGCCCCCCGCCCGCCTTCAGAAGATGTCCTGGACCTCTTCTGAAGGCTGGCGGGGGGCAAAAGTCTTTCTCCCCCCTGCCTGCCTTCCCAGGGGCTTTTAAATCGCCCCGGACAGCGGAGAAGTCCTCCGCTGTCCCGGGGCGATTTTAAAATGCCGCCCGCCAGCATTTTAAGATCGCCCCGGACAGCGGAGAAGTCCTCCGCTGTCCCGGGGTTTTTTAAAATTCTGGGGGTGGGAAGAAAAGCCCTTGTTCCCCCCCCCCAGCCTTCAGAAGAGGTCGGGGGACAGACTGTCCCCGGACCTGGTCTGATGGCGGTTTCCATAGGAACGCATTAATTGATTTTCAATGCATTCCTATGGGAAACCGTGCATCGCAAGACGAAAAACTCGCAAGACGAAGAGACTTGCGGAACGAATTTATTTTGTCTTGCGAGGCACCACTGTATTTGGCTAGAAACATAGTGGTGCTTTGTCTCACCCAGGACTCTTTCCTTGCATACGTTGTTGCTTTGTGAGAGGAATGTTTGCACCAAATCTGTGGAATATTTGGCTAGAAATGTTGGTGGCACCTTTCCTTGTATACGTTGTGGAGGCTAGAAGCTTTCCACTCCAAGCCAGCAGTTACTCCTTGTTGTGATAAATGCATAGCCAGACGAAAATTGGCCAAGCAGCAAAAATCCCCACAAAAAGATGTCTGAAATGGAGACTGGCTTGATTGCTGCTTTACACTTGCTTTTCAACCATGACCAGAATGTTTTCTGGTCAAAAGGGTGGTGGTCTTTTGAAGCAGTCTGTCTCAGCTACGACTTTGTTTCTTTATTCCAAAGAATCCTATGACATGGTGGATTTAACAACAGCGAGAGAGGCAAAGAACCATAAAGGGAGAATTAAGAATAGAGCCAATAACTCTCCATATAAACTGTTCAGAAGAAGTCATTATCTATAATGGCACAGCCAACCAAATTGGAAAAGGACCCATTCACATCCACAGATGAGCAAAATGCCTAGACGTCCCTACATCCAGGAAAAAAGCACAAAGGAGATGGAGATTACGTTGGTGGCCATTTATTTATTTATTTTAAGCTTCTGTATACTGTGCTCTTCAGCTGACAGAGGCACTTACGGAAGATCAATAAAAACAATAAGAATTCATTAAAGGGGCAAAAAAGTGTGTGTGGTGTTTTGAACAGCCTGTTCAAAAGGGGTAGAGACAATGACATTTCACTCCATGGGTGGTGGCTATTTCTCTACTTCACAAGGCCTAATCATCTCTGATTCCTCTAGCTTTTAGTGGGAATGGCTCATTCATCTATTTCATATCAGAACTTACTCATGAGCCAACAGCAGTTTCACTGGGGCAAGGATTGAGGTGGGGTGCGGGGAGAGAAGATTCATCATCCATTTCCCAAATGTAACTTTAATCACACATTGTATGGTAAAATTTTATAGTGATGATTTGCAGGTCACCAAGCTGTTACAATAAAACACCAAAAGCTATTTTAAAAATAAATAGCAGTATGCAATGATGATAGGACTGTGTATAAACGTCCTTGCTAATGTCACCCAAATTTTGAATGACTCGATGCTGCTCCTTGTGTTAAGTTATGCAAATTGTACAAGATGGCGTGCTTTCTCTTTCTTCCCTTATTCTCTTCTGATTCTGCAACTCAAGGAAAGAAGTGAAGCTGTACAAGGAACCTTCTAATCCCCCCAAAATCTTATTTGGCAATTGCTCTCTGTCTTCCAAGGTTCCCTCAGCCACTCTTCACAACCGTAAAGGTAGAAACCTTGCTATTTAAAATGGGAGCTGAGATTCAGGAGGCAGCAAATTCCATGGACAGTGCCACATCCCACAAAACTGTGTCCTGCACCCCGATGCAGCCTTGTTATAACAGCGTGGCAAGATACGACAGAGGACTAGACTTCTGACCAGATGTTTTCCCCACCCCTCATGTACAAGAAACTGTTTATACAGTGGTACCTCGGGTTACATACGCTTCAGGTTACATAAGCTTCAGGTTACGTACGCTTCAGGTTACAGACTCCGCTAACCCAGAAATATTACCTCGGGTTAAGAACTTTGCTTCAGGATGAGAACATAAATCATGCTCCAGCAGCGCGGCAGCAGCGGGAGGCCCCATTAGCTACAGTGGTGCTTCAGGTTAAGAACAGTTTCAGGTTAAGAACAGACCTCCAGAACGAATTAAGTTCTTAACCCGAGGTACCACTGTATGTACAAATTACACTTTCGGAAACCCAGTCTTCTTCTGCAAAATCACTGGAGGTCTAGGACCCTCCCCTGTCCTCTTTGTCAAAGGCAGAATTGATGTCCGGGGGGGGGGGGGGGAGTCAACCGAAAAATCCTGGTTTTTGCTTTTTGAAATACGGCAACCCTACGCATGCTCCAAGATCCTACACTTCTTTAAAGCGACGGCAGCCACTGTTGCTATCATCACATTTCCCCCACACTGTTAGGTGAGACATATTAAACAGCCATCTGCCGAGTGCAGTAGGTTGCAGACTGGCCTTATTTCAGGGTTGAAGAGTAAAGCTTAATTGGCATAGAAGCTAGCAGGGATGAAGAGCTCTGATTTGGGGGGCAAAGAAAAAAGGCAGCTTTCAAGTGCTCCTGTTTATTTCACATGTCTTTTCAAACACGCTGCTGCCGCTGCCTTTTTTGCCTACCCCAACTCTCTCCACCCAACCCCCGCCTCCACCCCCACGGTCATATATTATTTTTTAAACGCCTTCAATTATTTAGCATAAGCGTCGGTTTTTGAAACAATTAGTTCAGCGGCTTGCCTTCAGGTGGAGTAAGGCTGCAGTCAAAGGCATTTCCTCATCTGATACAGCCATTTTCCCAGCTGGTTTTTATTCTCAATATCACACAACCACAATTGCACTCTGTCTCATTAGTTACATTATCTCATGAGGATTCTCATATCCTGGGTATGTGTCAGGCACTGGCTGGATGCAGAGGAGCTGTGCCAGGCCCCAGGTGGGGGACCCCCAAGCGAACCCCCGGGGGAAGAAGGCTCAGAGCCAGGGGATGGGTGGTGGACGACGCTGAGTGGTCAGAGGAAGAAGAGGGAACAGACTGGGAGTTGTCAGAAGCTGAAGAGGCAACAGGGTTTGGTGAGCAGGAAGAGGCTGTGGCAGAGAGCAGTCCAGGCTCAGAGACAGGAGTGGAGGGAGGACAGAAGACAGAGATGAGGCAGACTGCTGAAGAATCCTGGGAGCCTCCCCCTCTTTCTGCAAACCAGCTCCCCTCTCTGCTGGTCTCCCAGAACATGCAGAGAAATGAAGACAGTGGAGCAACGAGAGACAAGATGATGGAGTCTTAGGCTGCTGGGGGAGGAGCTGGGGGAGGAGCCAAAGAGAGCAGTGGGAAGGTAGGTACCTTCGTTCTTTGCAACTGCTTCATTGAGGCATGACCTATGGAGAAGGGTTGC